GCGTCGAGAATTTGGAGGTGGCTACGACCAGCCTGCTCGTCAAGAGTACGGACAGCAGCAGCCATACGGCGGCGAGCGTCGGGAGCGTCGCGGTTCGAACTCGAGCAACGAAGGCCGACGTAAGAGAAGTGGGAGCCACGAGCGCAAGAAGCATGGAGGTCACAAGAAGGAAAGGAGCCGATCGAGAGAGCGGAAGTACAAAAATAAGAGCGATGACGGTGACAGTGATGACGAGAAGAAACATAGACGGAAGAGGAGCAAGTCACGGGGTAGCAATGAAAGACGGAAGAGAAGCAACTCACGGGGTAGCGATGAGGGACGGAGACGGTGGTAGGTGTTGATTGGGGTAAGGGCGCCTCGGTTGGAAACTGGTGGGAATCTGGAGGCGGATTACCATGGTTTGATAACTGGGATTTGATAGGATTATGGGAGATAGGACTGGAGGGGATCTGGCTTCTTTCTTGAAAGGAAATCTAGGCGGGCAGATGGCTGTGGAGACGGTTTCTAGGTCACTCTACGTATGGTTTTCCAGCATGGGTTACATGGCGAAGCAAAAAGTTCTCTCTCACAGTTTACTCACCCCATCTGCGTAGAAGGCTAAGGCTAGGTAGGTCGGCAGTCAGATATTCTCTTGTCCGTTGGAGGGCCGGGTGTGGGGGGCCGATGGAAATAATTTTTTATTTTATTTTTCCGGAGCCCGCCGATCGATCCGGGAAAGGAAAGTGGAGGTAGGAAGCTCACGTGAGGGGCGTTTGGTTTTCGTCGATGGACGTCTTGGCATCTCGTTTGTTTTTGACTCATACCGTTTCGTTGTTGCACAACGCTTACAAATATAAATGCTCCCTCATTGAGATCCTTATTGAGATCCTCATTGAGGGGATTATGTGAGTTGATTTGTTTCTCTTACCACTTCTTTTGTGGATTTCTTAGGATCTTCTCAAAGGTTATGATTGACGACTTTCGACTAACGATTGATAATTGACGATCAAGATGGCGTCTCGTGTTGGAGAAGAAGCTCAAACACTCCCGAAGCCCACATCTCGATCCGGATCCGTCCTCCAAGAGCCCGTCCTGATCCGTCCCGGCCGCCTCTTCGAGGCCCACCACGTCGGTCGCATCGCAGCGGAGACGTACTACGACACGCCCCTGACCCAGTTCCTCAACCCTCACCGGGGAAAGTACTACGCCGACTACGAGCGCGGGTTCACGCACCGGGCGCTGGCGCGGATGCTCTCGCCGCGCAACGTCACCCTGTTCGCGTACGAGGCTTCGCGGCCGGCGCGGCCCGTCGGCTACGTGCAGTTCGTGCGGCTGGGCGACGACGGGCCGGCGCGGGAGATGGATCGCGACGCTGGGCGCGCGTGGCGGCTTTCTCTCTGGGTCCTGGGCTGGGCGTGGTGGCTCTACACCCGGTTCTTCGCCGGGCGGGACAGGAGCGCGGATCCGGCGGCGGGGAAGAGGTTTGAGGGGATGGTTGCGGGCGAGGTGAGGAGGCACTGGGTGGGGAGGCCTGAGAGGGTGAATCGGTGGCATGCGCAGAGTGTGGTTGTGGCGGGGGGGTTCCAGGGGGCCGGGATTGGAAAGAGGCTTGTGGCGGAGGTGCTGGGTAGGGCGGATGGGGAGGGGGTTGTTGTGGGTTTGGAGGCTAGTAAGGCGGGCGAGCCGATGTATAGGAGTCTGGGGTTCGAGCTGCTGGGGAGGTTTGGTGGGAGTGTTGATTTTGAGGGCGGAGCCGGGGGGGTGATGATGAGGAAGCCGAAGAGGTGGATTGGGACAGGGACGGAGAGGTGAACGCAGTTCTTTTTTTTTCTCTGCTTTTTTCTTTTTGGTAACGAGAATAGTCTAGGGGGATGCAGCAGGTGTGTTTGCAAAGGACTTCAGGACGGGCTTTGGCGAATGTGGACGACGAATATAAGAGAATAATAGAGCAGGTACTTGGACTAATTCAAACTTAGTCGTTGGATTTGGAAGTATCTTGGAAGTATCGAAGTCTCTACTTACCTTTCCTTGCCTTTCAAACTTGAGTCTAAGACGAGCAAGACCCTCGCTCCCGTTAGTTTTATGAGCATCCGGGAGACATGTTCGGTAAATTATCAAAAGATGAAGGGTGATACTTGGGGATGGATTCCAGGATTCCAGGATTCCAGGATTCAAGAAGCTTGAGATTCGCCGGTCGTCGGAAGAAGCTCTGGCAACTTGGTATGAAAGCCTGTTCTGTCAGCACAAGCTTTCATCCTGGAATACAAGATCTCTTGGCTGCATGCTGCCAACAATGCGATTCTACTCTCCGCGCTCTTCTTCCTGTAACCCTCTTCCTACTATATCCATATCTATATCTATCTCCCATACATATCCATATTGATATCTCAACGGATCCCGTTGAAACGATGCGCAATACTCGGTAGTCCCGAGGGGTCTCTAGGCACAAATTTTGGGAATCTGGGCATCGAGACATGGAATCGACAGGAGCCGAACGACGCTCGCGGTCGAGGTCTCGCTCCTCCGACCACAATGAGCGTCTCGAGCCTCAATTGCTGCGCGCGGCGGAGAACGACGATGTAGACAAGCTCCGCCAGATCATCGAGTCTGCAAGGAAAAAGGACCAATTGACCGAGAACTTCCTCCGCATCGGCCTGGTCCGAAGCGCGGAGAAGGGAAAGATTGGTGCAACACGGTATCTTCTAGCTGAGGGGGCCCAGCCAGATGGTGCGACGGGAAACAGACTGTCGCCGTTGTTCAAGGCCGTCGAGAGGAACAACATTGGCATCGTGCATCTGCTTCTGGAGCATGGCGCCAACGCGGAAACGGCTGATAAGAAAGGCAGGACGGCCTTGATGACGGCAGCATGGATGAATTACTGGCACATCTTGAACTCGCTGATTGTAAATGGCGCGGATGTGAACGCGAAGGACGAAAGAGGAAGAAATGTATTACACAATCTCGGCGCCGACAAGCAGTGCAACTGGGGTGACTCGGTGATCGAACTCTTGCTGAACGAGAACATATACATTGACGGGGAGCAGGGCCAGGACAAACTCGGGCGGTCGCCCTTACATTGGGCGTGCGCAACGGGCAAAACGCATTTTGCAGAGCTTCTCCTCACGCGGTCGAGGATGCCGCGAGCCAACGTACACGCGATCGAGTCGCGGGGGAAGACAAGTCTGCATCTCGCTGTTGCTCGCGATTCGGACGACATTGTCGAGCTCCTTCTCAGGCATGGCGCCGAGATCAGTGCGAGAAGCGATGGTGGGTGGACCGCCCTTCATAACGCCTGCGAGCTCGGATCCGAGAAGATCGTTCGTATCCTTCTCGGAGCTGGGTCGGACATCAACGCTAAACTGCTCAATGGGATGACACCCCTTCACCTTGCGGCTCAAGGAGGCCACTTGGCCGTTGTGAAATGTCTGTTGGAAAGAAAAGATATCAAGAGAGCGGCCCGGGATACATTTGGGAGTACCCCTTTCCTCCGGGCTGCGCAGAATAGGCACAAGGACATTGTGAATCTCCTGGCACCTTTCAACCACATGGAAGTAATGTCCAAAGACGCGTTGGGTGCCAGCAATGGATTCAACGCCACTATTGTGGATTTTGGCAACTTCCACAACGAAAATCGCGTCAAGCGACCAACAGTCTACGGTATGGACTTCGATGGAGGGTACACAATCTTGGTGCTGACGACCTTGCAGAACTACTCTATGGTCGTGATCCGATCAATCCGCGGAAGCCAAAGATGACGATCCTCCCGAATGACGACAAGGCATCAGACTTCCGATGGATCCATCTCCCAGCCAATAACATGGCCTGGATCGAAGTGCTCCTCACAAAGATGTTCATCGAAGAGGGGGCAAGTGATGTTGACGGTTTCAAGGCCCTGGAGCGCTCCTTCTCGCATCAACATCGAGGACAGCAGAGCCATTCACATTTTATGCGCCCACTCTGTCAAAGTGCGACAAGAGCAGCAGCATCTACGCCACAACACCATCACAAGCCCCCGGATCCACCAGCAGAGAGTGGTCCGCCCAGGATCGTGATCAATGGAGCCGAGTCCAAGGGGTCTCCCAAGCCGGCTTCGAGGAAATCTACGTTCCGAGGAGACAGCAATGACTTTTCCAAGTCTCCTCACGGCAGGGATCATGAGAGAGGTGCTCACAAGGAGAAGGGGAAGAAGCCTCAAGCGAAAGGTAATAAGTCGCCGAAGCTGAATGATACGCCGAGTAAAGACAAAGATACACCACGTAAGTTTATCTCAAACATACATCTCAATTTACTCTCGTGCAAGATCTCGGAACAAGCCCAAGCTTTGTTTTGCGAGGTTTGCAATTTACACTCTTGGTGGGTTTGCACATCGCAGTTGCTCCATTTCTGGAATTTTCTAGCCATCTAAATTGTATTGGACAACGATAATTTGTCTTGACGATTTCAATACTAGTCGACCTTGGTACTGAATTCTATCCACTGAATTGTGCCTGACCTCAAGTAGGCAGAAGAAACCCATCTTCAGAAAACCATCGGCCTAGCATGCCCTGTAAGAAAGAGCCTATGCAGTCGAAGGCCAACGTTTTCACATTCATGCCATACCTCCACTTCGAAAGTACCAGGCGGCGGCAGGAGATGCAAGAAGCCATTGAGAGAGCTGAAGCTCTGCGGCTTCCACTTTGTCAATATCCGGGCAAGCCTGCGACCTATGATGAGATGTTGATCAGAGCACACCTGGCTACGTCCACTGCATCGCTACATGTCCGGCGCACATTAGATCAATTCTTCTACCACAACATTGATACCAAGAGCCGAGATCAAGACCAGGTTGTTTACCGCTACCAGCTCAAAGGCAAAGATCAAAAGGACTCGGAAGTTGATCCGAAAATCGTGATGGTCGACCAATTGTGGATGTGGGTACTGGGGAAAGACCTGATTGTTACCAGCTTCCCCCAGAGGTGGCAACAGCCTAAGAACGACCCCTTGAACGTTCTAGATAGTGTGATCGAAGACATCAATAGCAAGACCCGGGAGCCTGTGAAATCGGTCTACGACCTGGCAATGATTATCACGGGTCGATGTACCGGCGTGTTCGACAGACATCGGATGGGCGACGACGAGTACCTATTCCTAGATATGTTCGAGTCAAGTATCGGCAGTGCGACTGATAGAGAGACTCTGCTGTTCAAGGAATTCAACGAGGCTTCGGCACAAGCCTCGGTATGGCTGCAACACCATCGGAAGTCACACGGCTTCTCCCGGTTCGTCGAGCACGGTACTACCGAAGCAGAGATAAAACACGAAAGCAACTACATGAATTGGGACAGGGAAGAAGAGAAGTTCAAGATGGAAGAACTCATGCGGAATCCGCCTTTCATCGACAAACTCCTCGACATCGGACAGGAAACGGACCTGCTGGCCGAAACGAAAGATATCCGCGACGAGTTGAATATGATTGCCAAAGTCCTCGACGACCAGAAGAACGTGCTGCCCGATCTTCAAGATGCCGTCAGCGAAATTTACCGAGACGAGCAGAAATCCCAGCAGGAAGTCAAGAAGCGCTTCCGAGACCAGCTGAAGACTATCGATGTCCACCTCAAAGACATCGAGCGCATGGATCGCCAGGCCGAACGCATCTACAAATCCATCACCGACATGCTGGACCTGAAGCAGAAACACGCCAACGCCTTCGAGGCCCGCTTTGCGCGGGACCAGGCTGCCGGGACCGCCAGACAGAGCCAGACGATCATGGTCTTCACCATCGTCACGATCATCTTCCTCCCGCTGAGCTTCATCGCCGCCTTCTTCGCCATCAACATCCGCGAGTTCCCCGGCGGCCGGAGCAGCAGCGCGGAGGAGGCCGGACCCCCCGCCGCCGGCCTCCCCCTCGGCTACGTCAGCAAGTACATGTTCGGCATCGGGTTCGCCGTCTCGATCCCGCTCATCGCCATCGCGCTCAGCCTCGACGACCTGGGGCACCTGCTGCGTCGCGCCCGACGCTCGCTCACGCAGCGCCGCCTCAGGAGAGAGAGGGCGGCGGCGGCGGCGGCGGCGGCGGCTGCGGCTTGTAACAGCGAGAAGGGTCGTCCTCCTCCCGCGGGCACCGCGGGCTCGGGCGACGGGGGAGGTGGCTTGCAGAAGTCGAATATGCTGCCGTTTGCGCGGGTGCTGAGCGTGGCGCGGAGTGCGCGGAAGAGCGTGGAGACGGCGGACTGGATCCGAGCGAGGTTTTCGACGTCGTCGTCGACGAGGCGGGGGATTGGGGATGGGAATGGGAAGGGGGTGGGTATCGGTGACGCAAACGGAACCGGTGTGGGAACGCCGGACTTCAGACAGATGGCTACGGGGTTCAAGATGAAGAGGGTTAGCGGGGATGTGGAAAGGGGGTACTCTGAAGGGAGGGCGGCTGGGTAGCGGGTAAAACGGCGGGTGAGGTGGTGGTACCGGTAGCGGTGATTTGTGTTTTTTTGGGGGTGGGCCGGGGGGATGGGGGGATGGGTGTCTGGTTTTATACCCCCCCCTTTTTTTTTTTTCGAATCTCTGGAAAACGAAGCTAGGTCTGCTATTTTTTTTTTTCTTTTTCTTTTTTCTTTTCCTTCTCTACAATGGGCGAAATGGAAAAGTCTGGCTAATTGGGTCTGCGTTTGTGTTTCGGCGTGGCGTGGCGTGCAGGAAGGAAACGAAACGTTGAAATGGTGAAATGGTGAAATGGTGAAATGGTGAAATGGTGAAATGTTTACCGTGACGTCGAGCACGGAGCGGAGCAGTGAGAAAAAGGTGGGCGAGCTGTGCATGTTATGTTCTATCATATCAGATCATATTACATAGCGGTTTGAATAGATACAGTAGTATCAAGGCATGAATGGTCTTTAACGGCTTCTTTACCTAGCTCGCGATGCCGGACTTGGGGAGGATGGGGCGAGATGGGATGGGACGGTGTATGTATATATGTATATATATATATATGTATATGTAAGGTAGGTATATGTGTGTGTGTGTGTGTATATGAGAAGAATACGGTACTGTACGAAGATGTTTCTGAGGATGACGTGATGCGACCGACTGGGAGAAGGGGCTCGCTTTTTTATATGGCGTGGGTTCGGTGGCGCTTGGTCTGATTTGATCTGCAGCTTTTTGGAGAACATTTGGGAGGGTTTGGGGGGTTTTGAGGGGCTTGTGTTGAGGTTTTTTT